TACCATAGCACATTCTGCATCCTGTAAAATGTTACTCTTCAGTTCAAATAATCAAATAAATATTTGAATTCAATGTAGTGTCAATTGATTAAGAGATGTAAAAAAAAAAATAAATAATTTTCATTTCGGAAGGGGGCAGTGGCTGCACACTAAAGTGCCGTGGCACGGTGGTTGAGAATCACTGCTTTAGAGTAAAATGAGTAAACAAAAAATAATAGAGCCTTAGAATTCCTTCGATAATGATTAGAAAAATTGTGCATATGTTGCGCATGCTAATGATGCTAGAATGTTAATTGCTATTGAGCGAAGGTTATCCGCCGACGTACAGTTCAGTATTGTATGGCAAGCCACGTGTATAGATAGTACCTCATGCTTCAGAGGCAAAGGACCTCTATCTTGCTTTTTTCTCATATACTCGGGTCGTCTTCTCTTACGTATATGTATTCAGATTGTATATGTGGTATGAGAGCCAACGATATCTGGAAATATCCACGAACTTTTGCTATTACGTTTCCACGGAAAGGAAAATCGTCGGAGATATCGTAAAACGGAAGAGAATTCGGTCCTTAGTTACTGTGCTGAGGTGGATCTGTAACGTTCGTTTTCCAACCGATTGTCCCCGTCATTTAATCAGTACGAGTACTCGTTTAAACCTTGTACATCCCTTTTTCTCAACTGAGCTCGATCCTTGCCAGCAATAAAAGAAAAATAAAATAGAAGATTGGATACCGGAGTAAACTAATTGGAACAAATGACCACAGATGTTATTATACTTTTCCTTAGTCATCATGTAATTTATCGGAGATCGTGGATCACGGTTTAAGAAAATAGATTATTGAAGATAGGGTTTGTGTAGCTCGTCTTTCAAATTGAACGGGTTTTTGTTAATATTGTAGAGGCAGATCATTGAATTCTCATCAGACACTAAAGAGACGCCGTATTGAAGCGGAATTATACGAATCAGACGAGTCTTTCTTTAAATAGGTATCGATCGATTCTGAAAGAAAGTGTATTTCGTTCAACTGAAGTTTCGCAAATAATATATAATCGACGGACGACAAACAGAGACGGGAGAGTAAGGAAGCGCGCGTTAGCGAGGAGGCGAGCATCGTTAACCGGTGCGGCGCGTTTCTGCTTACTAGGTAGAAAGGAGAGTCGAGAAAGTCGGCGGGTGGTCGCGCGTGCACCGACACGGCCCACAGACAGTTTCGTCGTCGTTGATCATGAAGAACGTGTCATTCGCCGACGTCGCGCGCCGGCCACACACACCGGGCCGAGAACCACATGCACGCACACCTCGGGTCAATCCTCGTCCTCCTCGTGTGTAACCGATGCTGCTCCCCTTGTCCCTCTTCCTCTTTCGTGCCCGTCTTCCTCTTTACTCGCTTTCCCGTAGACTCGTGCATTCCTCTGCCCGTGGACACGGGCACGGTTTACCCTACGCTCGACCAGGAACAACCCCTGAAAATCAGCCCCTGAACGAACAAAGAGAGTCTAGTGTCTAGACGGGTGGATATTACTGGCGACGACACGAACACGGCCGCACCGTGTATACATTCGTATTTCCTTTGTTTCTTTCACTCGTTCGATAAGTACGTGTCTGGGCTGCGCTTTTCCCATCGGTCGTCGTAATTGTAACAGAGCCACGTAATGCGTACTATGTACAGGCGCGAATCCATGTTTTACAACCCGTTGTAACACTTACGAATGGCTGTGTACACGTAATAGTAGGATCGCAACGATGATGCGACAGGAATGTATGATGCAAGTGGATACGCACTTATTCCCAACGACTCTTGTACTTTTAACGCAGCCACGTGATACCAAAGTATGTATCACGTCTGCCTATGTACATAATGTGTTCCGTTAAAATGATTGTCGTGTTCTCTCGTCGACTTCCAAACCACGTGTTCATTTTGCGTGCAACATTCTGGGAAACATGTCGAGGTCGAAAACGAAACATTACTCAGCCGAAGGGTTAATAGACCGCCAATTTTGTTATCTGTCACGGATTGACGTGGGAACGATTCATATAATGTGAAGTAGGGATGTTCGATTCTCCACAAACTCGAATCGATTCTTTTAGATAAACAGTGTAAATAAATACATCAATATTCGTTTTTTTCTTCTTTGGTGTTGGATATATGGTCAGGTAATTAGAGCACGCGTTTAGCTCTCGTTTTGAGACCGATTAAGAACTCTTGAGACGAATTTAGATTGTTTATTTGGGACGTGCACCTTTGATGCAATAATGATATAAGATGTTTTCGTCTGCATTACGTTCTATGTTACTATAGAGTAACGAAGTGAGATCAGGGTTCACGCTTGACGAATTAAGATCGGACGGATCGGTCATCCGGGATGCACAGCCAGAATGACAAGTATAATATTCGTCTTTACTGGTGTTTTCAATAAGATTCGTACCCTCAATCGATATCTTGATCCGATTTTTTATCGAGTGTAAGTACCTGGTTCCAATTTCATTTCACCGATTCTTATTCCTTTTTCCTATTTTGAAAGCGCACGTGTTCGTTTTCCGTGTTGTTATTTGCTTCGGATGCAAATGAATTTGAAATTCGTTACAAACACAAACAATTCCCGTAATGAATTTTCACTCGCAAATAAACGGTGTAAATAATGAAATTATGAATTTTAACAAGTTTCTTCTCAATTTACGTTTGCGCGATATCCAGTGCAATTCGATTATTCTTCCCGAATAGAATTGGACCGGTGGAAGTTATAGAAGCTTCGATTTGTAGAACATTTGTAATACACAGGGGATCTGCATCGATCGAAGAGCACTCGGACGTAGTAAAAAGAGAAAAGAGTCATGCACGGTTTTCTCCGAGAATCATTCGTCCGACCGCGTCTGACCACGTCTGACCGAGACTACTGGAGTTGCGTTACTGCTGACAAAAGTATGGTTGATACCCGAACAGCATCAGCTGATCGTTTCGAGTCAGTTATCCAAGAGAATACGCAACCCACCCACGCCGTCCTGCCGTTCGTAGCTCGAATTATACCGATTGAGATTAATATCACCTTTCATGATGTACGGGCGCACTAATAAAAGATTTTACCTACATAAATCCAACTCTGGCTGTTTCAAACGAGTCATAGGAAAAAAATTTTGAATTTTTTCTCGATGATGAACTCCGAGCTTGATCCATAATTCACGAGAACTCGTGACATTTCCAACACTTTTTGTGTCACTGATTCGATCAACTTTGTGGCAAACGATTCGCGGTCTTGATTACTGTGCGCGAACTTTATACGTACACATTTTCATTGTATATAATTGATGGCAACGCGGATTATTTATTTACATTATTAATCAACCAGCTGTCACTGTGCATGTTCCCTTTATCGATTTATCGATGATATATCGTATTTTTCATTTTTTTTTGGGTTATTATCTCGATATTGTATCCGATGAAATATCTGCGATGAGCGACGTTTACAAAGCGAATGCGATACGCATAACGTTCGATAATATGGGGAAAAATGTGCATTAATGGTGTTGGCTTGGTTTCAGGAAAAATTTGAAAAATGAAGGATGACGTGGACGAGGATGATGTCGGCGCGTTGTCTTCTACTTCTGCGCCGGAAACGACGATCACGTACGGGTAAGAGTGCATTCTTTCTTTTCTATATTCCATAAACTCAACTTTCTCATTTCTTTCAAAACATCGCATTGGCGTTACGAGCGAGTTCTGGAGAAATTGAGAAATTGATTACATACTCGATAAATTGAATACTTTATGTGCCATTACGGGCTATTTCATGTATGTTATAAATTGAGATTTCTGTTCCGATGAAGTAATTTACGTCCTCGGTACAAATTTATTAGATATTCATTTTCTTAAATGAATTCGTTTAATTCGAAATTACACTCGAAGTGCACTCGTATTATTACGAGTGATAACTAACAAAGCGCCAGTTTTCTAAAGACTAGCTTTCGGTCATATGTTATTTGAATACAATAACATGTATACATAATGTATGATAACAACCAGAGGTAACGCAAATCGGATCTCTCCAGCGTGGCTTACGTAATTAGTAATTGGCGACACGCGTACGGGTACACAATAAAACACTGTAACATTAATGTGACAAGCTATTTTGCTTTTCACCGTAATTGGTTTCATCACTATCAAATTTCAGTGATTTTTAAAATGCAATCGTTATTTAGATATCAACTAATTCCGCAAAATCAGCCGATGTCTGATTAATAATGTTGCAATAATACTAATGGAATTGCAGTATCTCTCTTATAGCGGGTCCTTGATGATATGCATATGAATTATTTATTGTGCAATTTATGATAATTCTGTCGATAATTGTAATAGAATTAAGTTGAGTACGTTGCTAGGTAGAGCGTGATTGAATGTTTAGATACAACCGGTATATCAAATATCATAAAAATCTGCTCGTTGATTTTATCGTCGATAGAATTCCTTTAATCCATAATTGTCGACGATAAGACAGAATATGATAAATGATTTTCCACTGGAAAATTCAGGCTTTAAAAACAACTAAAAATCCTAATAAAATAAATAATATTCTTTCGCATTCGTCTGCTGATTCAGAAATATGCGAAACAACAACGAGATAATTTTACTCGAAGGTTATCGATTTCCTACATTTATGTAAAAATCTCCTCGACACTAGTGGCTGTATTTTTTAGACGATTTTACGATATCTATAAGTAGAACATAACAGATAACGTTCTGCGATTGTAACGTGTGTACCTCTGCACGTTACGTACTCGAGTATTCATGCGCGTAAAACGACGCATGCATGCACTTATGTACAGGCGTAACGAAAATTCGTTTCTTATCGCCGGACCCAGGCCGATACAAGGAATCCCACTAAAAATGTGTTATCACGATGCGCGGGTCTGAGCGCGGATATCGCGGGGAGAAGGCTAGGGGTACCGCGAGTGGTCCGTTCGGTCAGGAGGGGAAGACGTTGATTGCCGTTAAAGAGTGGGGGTAACGCTCCACCGGCAGTTCGCATCCGACTACCGTGCGTTGTGTGTCTCAACGTTCGATCGTCTGTCTTTTTGGTAAACGTTTGACACTTTACGCGAGTGTGTATCTTCGAAAGTAACGTTAATGTAAAGAGGATCGCAAGCTGTATCGTCGTTTTCGTAGAAATCAGGTTTAAAGATAACAGGCTGGTTTCCAAGTCGACGGAAGCTCGCGTACGACTCTGTATGTGATATTGCGCGGTTACTGAGGGTGCAATAGGCCACGTTACTGTGTTGTTATCTACGGAGTGCATACATAGACGAAACGTGTTTTGCTCGTTCTAAGAGGTATTTGGGACAGTGTGTCAAGGCCAGGGATTCTTTGGAGTAACGTCGCAGCTAGGATCTCTAGTTTTATCACGTTTCACACGATGTAACGGAACGAGGCTGGCCAGGCCAAGGTGGAAGGTCAGCGTATATGCATCTCGTACGCGCTTCGATCGTATCGATAGTAGCCGTTCGATCGATGCCCCCTCGCGATCGTTCTGCGTCTTCGTCTATGGATTTCCTGCTGCGCCGGGATCTAGATCATGATGTCAAGGTCAAGGGAATCCGACCAATGGTTCGCGTGTACGTCGGCCAGAAACTGCTAAGCGTTTGGATTCGATGCGGAAAGATCCGCAAGAATTATCGTTTTCCGGTGTTTAAATCAGAAGCGAACGAGACAGTTTTATTAGACATTTCTCGCCGATGAATGCGAGACAGTTGCGTCTCTCGATTACATAGATAAGAAACGAGAGGTCGGATAAAAACCTTTTGGCTCAGTCAGTGTTTTTTTCCTGTACGCGTCAGCCTCCGATCTTGCGGTTCGACGCAGATAGTGACGTTGTTTTATCTGAACCAAGGAGACGAGCCCGGGCGATCGAGCGCGCGAGCGAGATTAACCGGCGACCTGGCTAATTTTAATTCGCGCAACAAACAAGCTGCGAAAGTTGTCTCGCGATAACGAACAGACACGGTCGGTCTTACGTTGAGTACCGACTCTCCTTGCTGATTGCGCGCTCTCCGGTCTCCAATATGGCCAATGAAGATGAGTCCAGTCGTCCCTTCCTTTCGGTGTGAATAACGTTACGACGTGCGACGAATGATTATACAGTTGCAACAGTAACTGATTGAACGGTATTGAAATTGATAAAGAGTGTGCGATACCGTCGCAAAAAAACGGATAATCGATATACTGTATTTCGCGTTACGAGCAGCGATGATCTATCAAGCAGAAATTTTCGTTAGAAAGGTACGGAGGGACGTTCGTACTGTTTCGCGAAACGATTTTGACGTAGTGTACATCGAAGGAAATTAATCGTCGCGCCGGTTATTTGAACAGTGATAACGATGTGGCGGGAACAGGAACAAGTATACATGCAACCTCAGCACCTGCAACAGCAAACCCTTCATCCGGGTATGATTGCTACGGTTGAAAGGGCGCATCACCATCATCATCATCATCGATCCACCAGCATGGATTTGCCGATTCCAAGGTCAGGCTCATTGTTCTATTAATGGTACACAAACGCTAGAGCGTCGAGGAGAATATACATCTAATCTGTGTAACGTTCAGATTCAGCCTTAACAGTTTTTAACCTTCATCCGTCCCCTAGGTCAATACGACGCTTTGTTTCAAAACAGTTTGTCGTTTTAACGTATCACTCGAGCGTCGAACGTTTACCCGAAGTAATCTTTTTAAACTCGTATCGATATCTTCGCTCTAATACTACTTATCGAAATTTTTAACGTTAGCCCGGGACCTTGTTTTTTAATTATCACTTCTGATATGTACCTGGAACATGCGTTTGCTTTTACATGTGATTTCTGATCTATGAATTCACGTTTATTGTAATAAATGTGCATGCGATTTGATCTTGCGTTGCCTCGATACACCGAGGCTATCTTCCGTTGGAATAGGTCATTTTCATTTTTAAGTAATTAAAATCGTGCGTACATGTTTTACGCATAATCTAGTGCGTAATTACATCGCCTTGTCTCGCGTCGTCAGAACTTAGTTCCGGATTGAGTTTTTTATTACAACGCGGGGGGGTGAGCGCAAATTCGATGTCCATTGAGAAATTTGTAATAATTTCGCGACTCGTTCGAGGGTAAGGGCGAGGTAAGTAGGTAGAATTCGTATTGGTAAACGTATTGCCCGTTCCCTTGCATAAAATTTAATTAAAAGATCGCAAATACGACTTATGCGTGATGCGCAAATGCGTTGATGAGTATTTTATACTGTTTTGATTCTCGTTGATTATTATCGTACAGTCAATTGAATTATCATCGAGTTATCGCGCCTGTTCTTTTTTTTCCCGGAAATCCAATACTTTTTACATTATTCTTCAGAGGTAGATAATTGACTTGAATCTCGCAATACTTTTAATTGATCAGCTGTATACGATCGTTACGTGAACGAATAATTACGCCAGTGATTGTGATAAGTTACTAAATAATTGCGAGGTAAATTGCGATTCGGAATCGCGGGTGTAACGTGTTAGGTATAAATGAATGAATTGTGGCACTTGGACTTTTTCATTTTACTCTGATTTCTGTTCGCATTTCAATTTCTAATCACTAATTTATTTCGCTACAATTTTAAGAGAGATTTAAGAACATAAAATTATAGAATAAATCGCCAGTGAGCAGAAATTAGAACATTTACCTTTTTGCTTTCTGTGAAATAATCAACGTTTGTTCTCTTCTGTCGTTTCCTCTCTTCTTTTAATCGCGTACGGCCAACTTTGAAATTAATGCAAGAGGGGAACGGTGCTGGTTACTACATGGTAGTTAGTCTGATAAGACACGCAGAGATTTCACGATATTGCTTCAAGCTTGCAATCTATATCCTATCGACAAGACGGGCATAGATAATAGTTGACATTGTGTATTAACAGTCCCAGGTATAGCATCGATCATTCAGATCAATCGTATAAACCCAATAATCAACGAAAATTTGTATTCGGGAAAAAGTTTCCAAGGCTCATACGGTTTAGTTGAAATTCTGTGGAGTTAGAACAGAGGAAATTCAGGATATCTAAAAAATTTCACTTCTTATAAAAAGGTCACACCGTATTTTTTTTCTCAGTTTTCTCTTAATCGTTAAAAAATTGAAAAATTTTGTTAGTTATCGTGCTAAAGGTTGACATCGTGAATAAATATTATCCTTAATTCAAATAGCCATTAAATGTCCACATATCGTTTCATTAAACATCGATTTAACACTGATCACTACACTTAATTACATTGTTACTATACAGTTGAAATAAATCGCATACTGGACGGTGAGTCGAAAATGAATGCGATTTTCATCCGAGATATAGAAACTCGATAAGCGAAACGGTGTTTCTCGAACGGGAATTTAATACACTGCACTGGATAGTGTGAAGGTTTGGTTTTCCTCGACAACAACTTGGTGACGCGCGCGTTGACTTTTACTAACAGCATATTGCAGCCAGCCAGCCAGCTAGCCAGCTCTCGATTATCATAAGCGTCAATCGTATGAAAGGTTAGTGCGCACGCGGACGCGACACGTGATGTGCAAAAGTCGAAGTCTTACACGGTGGGATACTTAAATGTACAACAATGTATTCCGCAGGTATCTTCGAAATGTTTAACACTAATTAAGTATACTGGTAACGAATTTGTATTCGCACAAGCTTTTCCTGTTTACATTACTCGGAATCAAATTGCGAATGTTAATTGCCCGTGGCTGTGAATGTCGGAGGTGCTTCCGCAGAAGAATCGCTAGCTTATGGAACACAACTTGCACAGTTTCGCTTACAACGGCGGTACGGATTCCCTAACTCGTTTTCAGTTTTCCGGTCAACTTCTAGTTGATGATACGTCGCAAGCGTTTTATGCAACGACGCGACCTCGAATAATGTTTATCGTTAACAGCGAGCTCATCCGACAATAAAAATATTATTTATGGCATATTTTTCGAAATCCTCGAAGGAAATGCGCATCGCGCGTTCACAGAAGTTCCAAAGTGTAGAAAGCAGTATTGGAAAAAAAATCCGCGAGTTCTGCACCTTCTTTATGTAAGAATACCTTTCATATTTATAAATGAAAAAAAGGAAAGAAAATTGCGAAACGAAAAATTTGTGAATCGTATGCAAATCGAGAGGAATTGTAAGGTATTACAAGATGATTATTTCAGAGATATTATATGATCTTGTGTAGTCGACTAATTAATAGAGAAGCGATTCACAGGAGAGAAAATCGATTAGTAAGTTAAATAATATTAAACCGGTGTAACGACTGTTTTCGTAAATCCGAGTCGTAACGATGTAACGTAACTGTAGCTGTGAAGTTCCTCGGCCTTTTCATCAGTTAATGTACATGAGTATGTAAACATCTCCGATTTTACGATCACGCTATAATTCTCGTCGAACGAATTCTCACGGTTCTAGTACAGTTTTTTAATACGTTCCTGCGGATCGCGATATCTCTTCTCGGGGAGCATCGGTGGCGGGACGCGATTTGCATGGGAAATTAACTTACCGCGACCTTTCTAGAGATTCACCCGTCGCGTTAACAGCGTTTCTGTATCCGAGAATTTCGTTTGCATATTTCTTAAAAACCTTTTGCCCGATCGCGATTGAGTGGAAAGAGCAAAGGGCAAGAGGCGCACTAACGTTTTACGCGATTCGAACCTGTCGAGTCACTGCGCACAAAGGAAAGAAAGGTATTTGCAGTGTCGCAAAAAGAAGGAAAGAAGATCGGTGTTATTACGTATTGTCCGCGACTAATGGCTGCGGGTATTGAAGAAAAGTAAGAGTGATAAATAATCTGGTGGATAATGTCCTATGCTAAAGACGACGCAATTAAGGATATCTCGAAACTATTAATTAGTATAATAGAACTAGCTGATCTCGGGTTCAACTACGTGACCTTTGATGTACTTAGGAGAATGAAATTTCTTAATTAATTATGTTATATTAATCAACGAGTTATTTGAAGTATATGATATTACAAGAACGTTTTTTTCTGATTCAGACTTTTAAGAGAAGATTTACATTAATCAACGCGTGAATTGCTTGCGTCGATTAAAAAGTCTTGTTAGTTATTTCGGGCTGGTTATCTCGTTATGCAATGAGAATAAGTGGTTCGTCGCTCGAATTCGTGTGTCTCGTGGAAGCGTTCGACGTCGACTTTGAAAAGCGTCGAAACGCTCGCAATTAATCGGTATATTTAGTCAAGGATTATTATAATTAGCTACAAGAAGGGAGCTATTATACTTGAATGTTCGTTATCGAAAAACTAGTTTTACCCGTCGTAAATTCCAAAACAGCCATTGTGTTAATAGTGTTTACTACACAGTCGTTTATATTTTTATGCAACATCTCATGCGTTTAACTCCCGTGTGCATTGTTCTAGCCAACTTGCAGTTTTGCAATTTATATAACAAATTTTTAGCTCCTCTCGTCTGGTCAGTACGTTACATCATTGTTATTAACAGTCAGTAAAATGGTACGGTGAAGCATGTATCGCACAGAGGAGAATAGAAAGAGGAACAAATTACAGAGTACGTTTCTTGAATCTACGTAGGATTTCGATTCAATTTCATAAGGATTAGGTGGAAAGTTTTGCTCGTCACGGTATTTCCATGATTCTTCGAAAACAAAAAGAGAAAAATATTGTTTTTTCCCTCGGCGTATCAGCTGCGGCCGCGGCGCAGCGAAACTAATTTTATTTCTTCCGATATTTCTACTCAATGCCTTTGCATTCGCCACGGAATCGAAGCACACGTCCGATCACGATTTGATTGACTCGTCGACCTTGCTCACTTCTTTTTTTCACAGATACACTCGTTTGTATGCGAGTGTCTGCGTGTGTGTTTGTGCGTTGGCTCGCTCGTTCCTGGGATTTTATAAAGTAGTTTTTCAACTCTAGCTTCGTTCGCCTGCCTAGACAGTCTGGTGACTTGCTTTTCTTTCGTTGCTTTGATACACACAGGTATCACGCGATTCCCTCAGACGTCCGTTGCATAACGTCGGTCTTTGCCAAGTTGTGCTACGCAGATAATACTATGCAGTTGGAAATTGAGTTCATCACGGCTTAAAAAGCTGTTTGAAACATATAACTCTTGTATAATTGAGATCGAAAATTTCGTTCGCACGAATAATTTGTTCCGGGCTTCTCACTCGTCATCCGAGTACGCAGATTCTACATTTTAATTTGAAATTTTATCTCTGCAGAGAATTTTATAGATAAATGTCTAAATTAAAATATATTTACGGTTTATCGGAATTTAATAAATTCAACGCGGCGAATTATATTGATTGCAAACGATCGTAGTAAGGCTATCGCAGTTTCTTCTCGTTTTAAATTTCATTAAAAGGAAAGACTTATGATCGATTTCGTGGTCTGCATATGAAGAACTCGAGGTCAAACCGTTTTTTCACTTAGTCGATCTTTTTGAAAAACGACGCGATACGCACGAACAATTTTTCTGATCGTACAAGAAACGTTTTGTAAAATTCCTCTC